TTAAAAGAAAGGAGATCCTTCTATTTGAGATGATTTACATAAACCTAGAATATGCTGTAGTAAGTGAACTAAGACACAGAAAGCAGAATATGATATGATCTCAGTTTTATGTGTCATTTAAAAGTAATTGGATACCTAGAACAAAGCACAGAGTGTTGGATACCAGCAGTGTAACTAAGCCACATTACAGGCACATCTTTATAAAGAAGCAGTCTGAATTTTATCTTTAGTTTTGGGGCCAAGAGTGGACCTGAACTTTTACAACCATCTGGTCCTTTTGATGGCTCATGGAACTGTACTCTTGAGAAAGGTTTCACTCATACATTTTCTTTTTTTGGTCTTTTTGAGACAGGGTCTCCCTGTAGCTCCAGCTGCCTTGAACTCGCTCTGTAGACCAGGCTAGCCTCAAACTCACAGAGGATCTGCCTGCCTCTGCCTCCCGAGTGCTGGGATTAAATGCGTGTGCCACCATGCCCGGCACTCATACATGTATTAAAGCAGTATTTCCAGCATCAATTGGGGAAGTGGAAGGTAGGAACTAGCTTTGCAGAGACTCTTGCCCTTTGATCTCTAGGTCTAGAATATCTCATACACGCACAATTCAGACAGACTTCTCCATTCTTCTCACTGTTTTCAGTGGGAATAGGACTGCTCTCTGTGCTTCCATATGTTCACTAAAGCACATCAGTCACTATCTTGAGTGGAGTACAAGGAAGGTATGGTCCTGAGGTTTTAAGGTTAAGGCCTAGGTCACAAGAGGAGAACATGGCTCAGTGAGCTTATTTACATTTAAAACTGTAACTTTTGGGTTGCAAGGTAAGGTGCAAGTCATTAGTCCAGATTATGTCCATATTGTAAAAGTTATTCCCACAGTTGCCTTGCTGAAGAGCAGAGAAATGAGGAGAGGTATTTCTGTACTGATATGTGGGTCTGCACCTGAGGCTGCAGTTATGTAAGATAAATATATGGAGAGATCTGATGCGCCGTATGAAGACGTTGTGAACAGCATTGTTCTCTGTGCAGGAGATTTCCTGAGAGAGAATTTGGATACTTCTTACTCACACAGAGGAGAAAGCTACTCTGAGACAGGAGATAAATTACTTGACTATAGTAATCACTTCATTTATATAGGTGAAAACACCTTATTGTGCACCATAAAATAGACAGTAAAAACCAAAACAAAGCAAAACGAATAAAATTTCACAATTGAAAAATGAAAAGTATGTGGAAATAACAAGCAACGCAAGAATGACTGACTAATCAAAGCTGCTGAGAAAATAATTTATTTAAATGTAGAAGTCACAAACTGGGTATGGTGGTACATACCTAGAATCCCAGCACTCGTGACCTAGAGGCAGGAGGATCAGAAGGTTAGGGTCATCCTCAACTACGTATCAATTATTTTTGAGGCCAACCTGGCTATACGAGACTGCTTAAAAATAAACAAAAATAGAAAAAATATTTATAGATATGGGAAAAATAGATATATTTATAGATATGAGAAATATATATTTAGAGACATGATAAAATATTATTTAATTATAAAGTAATAACTCAACAAAATACATTATAATTTGGAGTATACAGGTTCTTATTATTATAAAATCAAACTATATAATGTGAAATACAAAATATAAACATATAATTTTAAATGAAGTATTTAAAATCATAAACTTACAGCAAGCTGTGGTTACCTGTACAAGACCAAACCAGTTAAAATGGCCAAAGCAAAGAGAATAAGTGTCTGCAGAGTATGGGTTCTTGGACAGGACTCCTATATTCAACTCCACTCACACAGGGCTTAGGGACCATTGGAGAAGAGGGGGCAGAAAGATTGTAAGATCCAGGGAGGGTGTGTTTGACCATAAGGAAATAGAGTCTTACAGGGTCCTGAGACCTTGCTCATATGAATCTATGGTATCATCATGAACAAGACCCATGTAAACTCAAGCAGACAAAAATCCAACACAGAACTGGGGAACTGGGTAGCAGGCCCCATGCCAAAGAACTATTGGAAGCTGATTACTGCTGGCTGAGGAAAAACTGATCTTCTTTAAGGGAGTAACTCTAGATAGGCTCACTAGACCTCAGTGTATGAACTTTCACTGTGGGATGTCTGGGTACATGAACTTGACTCAAGAGGCCTTAACAGAAATGGCAGGATGCATGAAATCCAGTGTGTGTGGGGGCTATGGGTGGGTGCTGATGGGAAAGGGGGCATAAAGATGATTAAGATGCTGTGCATGAAACTCACAAAAATTCAAAAAGATTTTCAATACAAGGTTCCACTGGGGGAACTATTGGCAATCGATGGCTGCTGGAAGAAGGGGAGTCTATTTTCTTCAGATGTGCAGTCAGTGGTAGACTGTGGAAGAGCCTACAGTGTGCATCTGAGCAGCACCAATTGGACTAAGTAAAAAAATTAGTGAATAATTAAAGGAAGACGTGAAATTGGGAAGGAGATGTAAGGGTGGAGTTCTGGGGATAGTTGGAAGGGGGAACTGGGGGTGAATATCACCAAGATATATTATATACATATATGAAATTTTCAAAGGATAAATGAAAATATTTAAAAATATTTGACTTATTGTATGTATACAAGTGTATTGTGTACATATATGTAAGGGTACCATGTGTGTGAAATGCCTGCAGAGGCCAGAAGAGGGCATCAGATACCCTGGAACTGGAGTTATGAGTGGTAGTGATCCACCATGTGGGTTCTGGGAATCAAATCCTGGTCCTCTGCAAGAGCAGCAAGTGATCTTAACCACTGAGCCATCTCTCCAACCCTAACTGAAAATATTATTAAATTAATAAAAAAATTAATTTTAAAAAAGAAAAAAAATATATGAATCATTTTTAGGAACCGATAAAAATATTTAACAGGCTTTAGTAGAATTTAAAAAATACCTTCTGAAATGGTGATGACAAGAAGAAAGTAAATAAATCTTAGTAAGGAAGAATTAGGGCCATCTCAGAAAAGATGGGAAAGATGGAAATAGAAAGCAAAATATGTCTGCTGCAAATAGTAAGTTCTTTGCCATTAGGTGGTGAAATTCTCAGAGGGTCAGAGACCAAACAGAATGACCATGTGAACTTCATGCATAGGAAGGTGACACTTGAAGCTATAAACTGAGGTGCCTTAGCAATATATGAGTATTTCATTCCAATATTTCCATCAGATTTGGTAGATTTTGAGGCCTGACTCTGTGACTTTGGATTAGTGATGCACTGAGTAACTTTGCTAAAGTTATAGTTAAAAGCATAAATTGAAATAAGAAATTTGAGACAACTGTTGTGTTGTTGAGAGATAATGTAATAAAAATTCAGTAATACAGACCTAATGAGATAGAGTCATTATAAAATCTAAACCTCCATTTGTGTAAACACACACACACACACACACACACAACACACACACACACACAGAATCTATAGTAGAAGGCCCAGGTCATCAGAGTGACTTTTTGTTAAAATTCAGTACTCTCCATGTGAAAGTCGAGCTGAACAAACTCATCTATTTCTGTTGGAGGTTTTCTAATGGGATCCAGACTCTAACCTTGACTCTATGTCACAATCACAGAGCTGAGGCTACAGCATTCAGGGCTCACTGACTCCACAGAAGGCTGATGCCCACATTAGGGCAGGACAAGGTCAGCCTGAATAAGCCCTTCACAGGGGCACTTTGATCCTCTTGGGGTGTGTCCAATTTCTGCGGCCTCCTGGGTTGTGTCCAATTTCTGTGGTGTGGATGTTTGCTGGCTCTTCCAGCAGAGGGTAAGTAGACAATGTGGTGGGCACATGGTGGGTAGAGGGCAGGGATGTTTCTTAACTTCCCATTCCTCATGGGATGGCACCCCACAGCAAAGAATCATCTGCATCCAGCTAAGAGTAGTGCCAAGCCTGACAAATGCTGGTCTAAGCAACGTTCTTTCAAGCCCTGGAGCAGAGTGAATCTACATGAATAAAACAGAAAGGATTTTGTATGAATAGTGGTGCAGCGAGCCGGGAGCTCTCACTTGCACTTTGAATAACGCATGTGCCTTTGAGAGCAGAAATCAAGCAACCCGTTCCTGCAAATGAATTTCCTCTTTGAAAATGCCTCAGTATATTCTATCTGAATGTGAAAGAACTGAAGAGAGTTTTCATCAGAGTATGAACATTCAAAATTGAATTTCAGTCATGTGGAGAGGGAAGCCTTAATATCAGCAGCGGTTCCCACTTATAAATGCACTGGTAGGAACCTTCTGTGAACTCACTTAGGCTATGTTTATTTTTTAAACTTCTCCTGTCTGCACAACCACATCTTTTTATGGTAGAGGTGATGAAGTTCAAGTTCTTTCTCTCAAATAATGAAAATTGGTGGAAATTAGGTTGCAGATATTGGATAGGTTACTAAACCCACAGCAAAACCTTTTAAACTCAAGGTCAACCTTAAGTACAAGGCTGAATGGAACAGAAAAACCAGGGTCTGTCCAGCTTGAGTCACCAAATATTGAGAAATTAAACACTGGAAAAGAAAACAACTTAGCGTTTTGTGATGCTGCCTTTTGCTTCAAGGCTCTGACAGAGTCTTAACAGCAACTCATTGGTACAGCTAATTAACTCATTTTACAAATGAGAGATGAGAGACTATGGCATGGCATCAACTGTCTTCATCCGTAGAATTTGGTTGGTTCATTGGAATTTGAACCTAGGTGTTGGTATTGTATGATAGCTCCTGGTGAGCTATCAACAAATGTCTATTAACCTCAAATAAAGCATGGACAAAATGGACCAAAACGATGATTCCTATAAAGTCTAGCTCAGCAAAACTGAGTTTATTGGGCTTCCTATGGAGGCAGGAAATACTCAGCAGCTGCTACATCACTGAAAAGCCCACCCCAGCCTGGGTGAGGGCTCAGGAAAACCGCAGCCCTGCAGCTCTATGGGAAACTTGCAGGCAGCTCAACTGGTCAGTCTCCTCGTCAACTGTTACTGCTTACATAACCCTGAGGTGGAGATTTTTGTAACTTTCAGGGTCTCCCTGAGTCTTTTAGTTACATTTACTCCTAGGCTTTGTATGGTTCATGTACTGGCTGAGTCTCAGGAGCCTCCCTCTTCCCTCTTCCCTCCTCCTTCTTCCCTCCTCCTTCCTCCCTCTTCTTCTTCCTCCCTCCTGTCTCCAAGGGGTCTGTCTCAATTTCAAGGGGATTATTCACCATAGAAGGTAGTGAAACTCTAGGATCAGGGATTTACTTGCTACAGACCGGGGTCAAATCTGTCTCCATTCCAGGTCACTTGCTTCAGCATAAGGGAGGAGCCTGGAGGACAGGGGTCTGGGCCAAGAAATGAAAGCAAGAGGTAGGAATTCTGGTTATTTAAGGTTGAAGAGAAACTGTCTATTCCTCCACTAGTTCACTGAAGTGTTTTTCTTTATACCCTCAGAAGAAAAATTTGTATACGATTTTAGAACTTACATGTCCCTAGTGGTTTAAACATGCCATAGTCTTGTAGTGTGGCGGCTTTGAAAACTGGTCTCTCAGGTCTTACAAAGAATCAAGCTTCCACTGATGTTAATCATCTCTGAGAGACCACTGCGGTTTCTTTAAGCTAGGGAAGACTACCACTTCTGCTGGTAAAGGAGTTCCTGAAAACCTGTCCGAAGTCAGCGTTGGGGCTGGGCTGGAGCTGTAGCTCAGTGGTAGAGCACTTGCCTCTCATGCACATCTTAGGTTCAGTCCCTAGCACTGACTCCAAACTGAAGAGTTCAGCCTCCTTAACTTTGAAGGAATCAATCCCTAGTCTTTCCCAGTCAATACTCGACTTCTACGTAAAAGAATCTGGGAGATTTTACTCAATTTTAACTGGAATTAAATTGTTGCAAAGGCTAGATTATGAGCTTGTGTCCCACCAATTTAAGCACTGCAGATTTGGAGACAAGGGGCTGTCAGAATTCACAGAAGCGCTCTGTGTTGCGTATCTGAAGGTGGGAGTTTAAATACTGGAGTGTGCTTTCTCTAAGAGCATCAGTGCACTTAGGAGACAAAATCAACCCAAATGCCCTCCCTATCTTACCTAACGTGTGTTTGCTGACGTTAACTAGCTAGTGACCCAATCTTTTCCTCCTGTAGCCACTTGATTGCACATATCAACAGGCTTGCTGCTTCAGTACTAATTTTAATCACTGTATTTTCTGTTTCCTTTACTACTGGCAATGGGATTATTAATTCTTTCATATGTGATTAACTAAGAGATCTTATTCTGGTTTCCTATCCTCATGGCTCTCTTCCCTGAACCCACACATACTAACACCTGTCTGACAGACCTTGATCAGAGAAAATCACTATTACTATGGTATCAGGGAGTACAAAGAATTACATATTAGTCAGGCATGGTGGTAGATGCCTGTGATCCCAGTTTTGGGGGCACTGAAGCAGGAAGATCCTTAGTTCCAAGCCAGCCTGAAATACACAAAAAGACCTTGTCTAAATAAATTAACTTCAAACAAATTAATATCGGGAAAGAAACAGAGGGCCTTAAAGAAAAGTCTCTCCCAGCTCTTAGTGTAGTGAATGGTTGAACATGTAAGGAATCCTGGGAAGTACAGTGGGATGTGGACATGTCTGTGAAGTTGTCAGCTCCTCACTGGATAGAGAGTCTGGCATGGCCACTGGCCCCGGGGCTGGCATTTGAGAAGAGCCTGTGTGGAGAGTGAAGAGTAGGGAAATATGGGAACCCGGCACCTGCCACCATGCCTGCCACTGCTCCAACAGGAAACGGGGCTACAGTTTCAGATCCACCTTTCAAATCTAGCATGAAATTTTCTTTAAAAAAATTAATACATTTATTTATTTGTGTATATGTAGGGGATGGGATGGATCTCCCTCTGTGCCATGGTGCATTTGTGAAGGTCAGAAGACAAGTGGTGGGAGTTGGTTCTCTCCTTCGATCATGTGGGATCTGGGAATGGAACTCCAGTCTTCAGGCTTGGTGGTGAGTGCCTTTACCCATCTGGCTGTTTCATCAGGCCCGAATTTTCCTTTTGACCAACTTTAAGCCAGAAAAAAGGGATTCAAGAATGGAATCTTGAAAGCAGTTAAAGTTTAGCCAAGTAGGTATAGTATAAAATCGCTAAATAAAGATTGCTGATTGGATGTTATCACTTCTAGATTTGATCACAATTGTTGCCGGATGACTTATGTCATATTTGTCCTTCACTGTTCAAAACTCAACTTCGCTTCTTAGAGGAGTTCTATATTCTACATAAACTTGAGTTTATAGTACAGAGAGTTTGTACAGAGCGTGCATCCAGTTTCCACTATTATTATTTAGTTTTATTTTATGTGTATGAGAATTTTGCCTGCATGTATGTAAGTCTGCCCATGTCATTCAATACCTATAGAGGCCAGAAGAGGGTAACAGAGTCCCTGGAACTGGAGTTATGGATGGTTGTAGGCTGCCATGTGGGTTCTGTGCAAGAGCAGCTAGTGCTCTTAACTGCTGAGCCATCTCTCCAGTTCCTAGACTGCGTGATTATTAGTGTCTTATGTGTTCTTTGCTACAATGAACGAGTGAATGCCTATAAATAAAGCATGCTAACCAGTGCTTATTCTTTATTTGGATTTCTCCCATTTTTGCCCAATGTTCTTTTCACATTCTAGGGTGCAATTCAAGATATTATATTAAATTTAAAAATCCTTATGTGATGGTGGTCTCCTCCTGGGAGTGACAGCTTCCTGGGCGTGCTTTGACAGATTTAAGGTGTACTGACCAGAAGTGCTGTAGGATGTTCCTCTGTAGAAATGTGGTTTTTTTCATGTCTACACTGGGATTTGTTTTTTGAAGAGTGAAATGTCATTCACAACATAGTATCAAGAACCCTTGCTGTCAGTATGGCTGTAAATATTATTAATATTGCGCTGGGTCATCGCTGGCTACCAAGGAAGTGTTTATCAGGCTTCTTCACTGGAAAGGTGCCGATTTCTTTCTGCCTTTTCACACTGGCTTCTTATTTATTTATATTTTTAGTGAACATGCAAAATAATGGGTTTCATTGTGAGATTTTCATACGTGCATTGTTCTTTGCCTGTATACGGGAAGTCACTTAACTCATAGCACATCACAGAGAATGTTCAGTTCCTCCCATTTTAGTGCAGAATATGCACACACATTCTTTAAAGATTTATTTATTTGTTTTATGTGTAGCTGTGTGTGCCTGAGTGTCTGTATGTGACATGCCTACAGTGCTTGCAGAGGCCAGAAGAGGGCCTCAGATCCTATACCTCATCAGATGCCCATAGAAATAGGTCTACCTAACCTTGGACTCGATTAATGAGCTAAAATAAGTATTTTCTCCTTATAAGTTAACTATCTCAAGTATTTCCTTATAGTAACAGAAAACTGATATGTTTTAGGATGATCGTTTATTTTGACAGACACAAAAGAAAGAAAAATTATCAAGTCTTTAGTAACTGAAGAAGAGACTTCATTGTGCAGGGAATAACTTAGTTATATTTGAGTGTGACCAAGATAATTTTAGAAGTTTAATTGGCTGAGTCTTTGAGTACAATAATGTATAATAGAACAGTCATTTTCTTTGTAAAAGATTATAGCCTGAAATACACTGAGAAATACATCCATCTCAATGTTCTGGACGATTTCTGGACTTACTTTCTGAGCTTGGAGAATACTTGATAAGTCACTCTTGTAGAATTTTCTTGCTTTCTATTTTAGTGTTTTCTAATTACAGATCACACATCCTTAGAACTAGAAAGGATATCATAGGTTAATTTTTGAACTTAATCATCTTGTAGAAGAAAAAACTGGAGCCAAGCCATGTTGCCTGACTAAGCTTCCTCCTCAAATAAAGACTGGTGCTCTGTTTACATCTCTCCCAGTTCACAGTATTAGGAGAGCCGCTGACTGTTCTTAAGTACTCACAGAGTAAAGACATGCTTCTTTCTATCGTAAGTTAAGGTCATGGGATTTGCCTGTAAACTGTCAAAACTAACCATAGAAGGTAAAATATCTTCACTTCTTGAAAGATATCTTGCTCAAGAATAATAATATAAAATAATGGTTTTGAGTATGTTAATAGGTGAAACAGTCAAGAAACATTCCATGTTAAAATAAAATTAGTTTAGGGGCTGGAGAAACTACTCAGCGGTTAAGAGCACTAGCCGCTTTCGCAGAAGACCCAAGTTCAATTCCCAGCACCCATATTGTGGCTGACAACTGTCAGTAACTCTAGTTTCAGGGAATCCAACGTCCTCTTCTGACATCCTCAGGCAATGCAAGGCACAGGTGCACTTACACACATGCAGGTAATACATCCATACACACAAAATAAAAAATAATAAATAAATAAAAAAAATTAGTTTAAACAAAAGGTTGCAAAAGATAAATAGGATTTTATTCAAGATTATGCATTTTAAAATTAGTTTTGTTTAGAGAAGAGGGGGTTTGAGACAGTCTCAAGTAGTTCATGCTGTCCTGGAACTTGCTGTGTAGGTGGTCAAGTCTAGCACTGAACTCTTGATTCTCCTGTATCCACCTCCCAAGTTTAAAATTATTCTTACATCAATAAATGCTAGTTACTTGTCCTGGTTTGGGGTATTTTTAGTTCAAGTCAGAGAAAACAAAGCTCAAATGTGTTGCGGGTTCTCCTCAGGCCAGTTGTGAAGATCTTAACCTGGATCAGGTCCTCTGCTGATTGGGGAGGGGCAAGAGGCATGGAGTCAACACACAGACCCAGGAGTGGGGTAGAAGCAAGCACTAGGCGAGGTGCTGCAGGCTCATTTAATGCAGGAGGGAGCAGGCCTTATATTTCCCTTTTCTCCGCCCCCAAGTCCTTTTAGTCAGCGTATCGTTTTCTGATTGGTCTGTGCCACGCAGTCTGTCAGCAGTCACTGGGCTATGGAGGCGTGGGGTCCTTCTGGTGGGCTATTTGTGAACCAAGAAGTGAAGTGAATTCTCGCTGAATCCCAGGGCTCTGGGTCTGCAATGTCTTTGGAGGCCTCCTGCTACAAAAATGAACTAAGAAGACATTGACTTAAATGGAGCTCACCAGAGAGTGGACTGTTCCAAGTTCCTTTACCAGGTTAGTGCTGACTCACAGTACAGTGGGTGTACTATGTATTAGCTGGCTGCCTCAAATTTTATAAAGTTGGAATAACAGAATTACTATAATGGGTTAACATTATTTTCCCTTACAACATGATCAATGACCCATGATGACATTCTTTCTGAGTTTCTGCCTTTCTTGTTTTTTATTTGGAATTAGGTCAAAGAACATAGCCAAGGGCATCAAGGCCAAAGGACAATGCATGAATTTCCAAATCTAGAGAGAAATGAGGAGCCAAGCAGGCATGCCCAAACATTTGACATTTTGACATCACATTGTCAAGTACAAAGTTCACAGTAGAGATCCGCTCAGTCAAGTTTGAAAACATAGTCACAGAAATAGCTCATGAAGTTTTAAGTTTATGGTTTTTGTTGGGCAATAGTCGTAACTGTGGAGAGTAATCAACCTAGGAGATGAGTGGTAGGTTGGACACCTCTGTTGAAGTCTAAAGTCTAAAGTTTTGTCATCAGCAATCTGGTCTGGTGAAGAAGGAATGCATGATGACTCAGGAAAAGGAGGAATACTCTGGAACAGAGAGAGTGTGTGGGCTCTGGCTGGGTATGTCTCACGTGATTGCACAACTGCCTTCATGTTTACCAATTCACAATTACTCCTTAATACAGAATCCTTCTACTTTTCAAAGAATTTTTACACATTATCTATCATCTGTGAATTAATTCACTTGCTGATTTCTGAAATTTTCATCTTAGAGATGCTTTTATTTGGCATTACGCAAATCCCACAATCAGTTATTCATACATTAGCATGAGTGATTATGGCATCTTGATCAAGATTGATTGAACTTTCTTCTCATCATAGAGAAAGGAAAGTATACTGGATCTTTTATTTTTATATTACTTCACCTTCTAAATATTGTGTGGAGAAAGTTAAAGAGGTGGGATGGTGAATTGAAAGAACAGCCAAGGTAAGATTTCACTGTCCAAAAAGTCCATTAGAAAAATAATTCGGTATTTTTTATTGTAACCCTATTTGAGCCACATAATCACCCATTAAAATATTCCATAATTCTGCTTATAGTATTGTGCTGGCCAGAAAGGCTCCATTTTGAAAACTCCATCTTAAGGAAGTAAACCTGAGCTTAATTCTCCCCTACCCCCAGTTCTTGTAAGTAACTCAGTCCTTGTAAATCATTTGGCTTCCTTGTAAGACCACAGGAGAACAAAAGCAGGTTTTGCAAAGCTCCTATCTGATGTCTCTAACTGCTCATTCTGGCTTCTGTAAATTTGCTTATTGCTGTGTCCAGAAGGAAAAGGGATCTCCAACTCCTTGCAGCTGCGGGTTCCATAGTGATGTCACCACTCAGTCGCTGTAATTGTTTTCTTTGTGCCCCTGTTTGTTCAATATATTGATAAATGTCCTGTTTACCTTGTCTTTAAACAATGTATTGAAACTGTATTGAAACTGTGACCCCCCCCAAAAGCCCCCAAAGACCCGGCAATTGTATAACTGTCATGAGATGATTAACCACTGTCTTGTGTACAGGTATTAAACAATGTATTGAAACTGTATTGAAACTGTGACCCCCCCAAAAGCCCCCAAAGACCCTGCAATTGTATAACTGTCATGAGATGATTAACCACTGTCTTGGGTACAGGTACCCCCACCTGGAAAGTCCTCTTGTATTTTTTGCTTTAAAATGTAGCCTCCCAACTCCCTCAGGGCAGCAGTCCTTATTTCCCAGTTGAGGATTGTAGTCCAAGCTATCTTGAATAAAACTTTGAATTAAAATCTGACCCAGTGGTCTTTTCCTGGTGGGCCGCATCTGTTTCACTAAATTTTCCTCTTCCCAGTTGGGAGACCGCCCTCACTGAGGGTCTTGTGGTCCTGACATGGATTGACAAACCAACATAAGACATTCGACTTGGATTTTACATAGTTTATATGACATTCAGGAAAGGGAGTGACTTACAAGTAGGCTTTTCTTTCCCATGGTTGAGGCATGCACCATCCGCCTCCGCCAGCAGTCTGCACCAGCTTTCTGGGCGCAGCCGCTCCCCGCTCCTCTCCTCCCCTTTCGCCCCAGGTTGCCCCCTCCATCTCCCCGTGTGGGGTGGAGGGGCTGGCTCGCCCAGCCTGGTGTCCAGGAGGCAGCATCTCGCCTTGCTCACTGTGCCCCACTCAATATGGGGGCGGCTCCACCCATTTTTCCCCGGCAAACTCTGCATTGCCCATGCTCACCCTGGATCATCTCCAGCTTTTTGGAGGAACATCTGGGTTACAGCATCTGTGTACTCTCCAATAGGAAAAGAAGCATAACGATTGGGTTCGGTTTTCAGAGAACACACAGCTCTTCAATAACTGAGTCTTTTCACCTTTTACTGCCCCTCACTCATTATAGAGACTTAAAAATATTTTTGTTTTTATTTTATGCCTATGAGTGTTTTCCTGCATGTTTGTAAGTGCACTATCTGCATAACTGGTGTTCATGGCGGCCAGAAGAGGGCACTGAATCCCTGGGACTGGAGTTACAGATGGTCCTTAGCTGTCATGTAGGTGCTGGAAACTGAACTTGGGTCCTCCGCAAGAGCAGCCAGTGCTTTTAAACACTAAGCCTATCTCCAGCCTCCATTATATAGACTTTTGTTTTGACAAATTTTAGAATGCAAAGAAGAACTACTATTTTATCACTACATGTCCATACAGAGGATGTATTACATACATGGGACATGCATGCCACATCCACAAGGTCCTTGACTACAGTGATTTATGATGATTTTTCTGCTTTACAATACTGAAAAATCAATATGCATTTCGGAAAAAAACATACTTTCAATTTTGATCTTTTCCTGGACCAAGGATTTTAGTATGAGATTCTCTTGTGATGCTGAGCAGCAAAGTGTGCTACGTTCCCTATCAGCCATGTGATTACCACTGTGGGCAACTGATTATATGATGTGCTATGCTCTTCAGCTAGCCATGTTCTAAATTCTTAGTTGTTTATGAAATGATATTTTTCAGTTTATGATAAGGCTATTGGGATATAATCCCATTTTAATTCAGGGAACATCTATACACACACACACACACAAGATTTCTTACAAAGGAATGACCTATGTGATTACTGGACTGGCTAAGCAAGAGCGAAACCCACAGTAGTCTGAACGGCAAGGTCATGACTGGAAGTCTGGAACACACTGACAAGAGCTGAGGCTGTTGCCCATGGGTGGAATTTCTTCTAAACCTTGGAGGAGTATCAGCTAGGCTTTTAAGTCCTTCCATATCATCCACTCAGGCCACCTCTCTTATCTAAGATAACACAGCATACTTAGTGTGCTGGATAGCTTTAGTATCAACTTGACACACCTGGGTTGAGGAACCCTCAATTAGGGAATTTCCTATATTCGACTGGCCTGTGGCCATGTCTCTGAGGCATCTTCTTGATTATTGAGTGATGTGGGAGGGCCCAGCCCACTGTGGGCAGTGTCACCCCTGGGCAGGTGGGCCTGTGTTGCATAAGAAAGCAGGCTGAGCAGGGGCCAGGGGAGCAAGCCAGTAAGCAGCGATCCTCCATGGCCTGTGCTCCAGCTCCTGCATCCAGGTTCCTGCCCTGAGTTCCTACCTTGGGCTCCCTGATGAACTGTGACCTGGAAGATATAAGACAAATAAACCCTTTCCTCCCCAAATTGGTATTGATCAGAATAATTTGTCACTGCAATGGAGAAACAAACTAGAACACTTAGTTAACTGATTTAGCAACATCTTTATTAGAGTTTGAAGAATAACTATGAACATTAGCCTAGCTGAAACAGGGTGTCACAATTGTCACTGCAGTGTAAAAAGAGGGTGAAGAGAGTACATTGAAGGAGTATCCACCTAGACACAAAACATCTCTCCAAATCTTTAACCTACCCTCTTGGTTGTGCTTTTTTCCTAGTACCATCTCACTATTCACAAATCTATAAACTAAAATTAAGCATCTCAGGGCTGGAGAGATGGCTCAGGGGTTTAGAGCACTAGCTGCTCTTGCAGAAGATCCAGGTTCAGTTCCCAGCAGCTAACCATCCTTAACTCCAGTTCCATGGTATCTGATGCCCTCTTCTGGTCATTATGGGCATTACACATACAGTGAACTTACATACATGTAGGCAAAACACTCATACACATAAAATGAAAATAATGCATTAAAAATGTAAGCATCTCCCCCTTCAAAGTTCTCTTATGACTGTGTCCCTATGTTTCCCTGTCTCTTTCCCATTTTAGCTTCTTTTAGGTTATACACATAGAGCTTGGCATCCAGCAAAACATCCCACTTGTCACCACAGACAGCTTTGTCTTAGCATAACTGCATCAGCTCATGTCAGCAGAAAAAAAGCACACAGAATGAAGTCACTGGCTGATTCAATGACTTGAATGACATCAGGCTCTTTACCTGCATCCCAGCATCTTTACCACATTCGATCCATCATCAGATTCTTTAGAATTTGTTTCTGCTTTTCATTTTCTTTTCCTACTTTCAACCATCTCCAAATCATGCTGTGGAAAAAATAAATTGCTATTCCCAGTCCCCACAATGTACACACGTACACAAGAACAGAAAGACAAATGCAGATTTGAAAGAGTGTAATAATGGATTTGGTAGAATAAATAATTAACCTAAGGGCCAGAGTAGAAAGGTTACACAAACACCACATACCCTGGGCTTATAAAACTGTATACATACCCTGCATATCAGTCTATAATGATTACTGTCTGTTATCATTAGGTAATATTATTAAACACAAGGACTTTCAATGTTTGTATTCTTTATGTAAAGTCTTTGAAATATGCTTTCAACAGCAGCCCAATATTGACTGTGGCAAGAATACAGTTAAGTAAATTTCCATACGCTTGGTAGTTTCTGTTGGTACGTTTTAATGCATCCTTGTTGATTTTCATGTTCTAGAAAAATATTTGTGATGCCATTTTATTACCCACATTAAAATCTAGTGAACAGGCAAACTGGAGGAAGAAGTCTCTAAAGTTTCTCCCCATATTTTCTCGTCGTCCTCCTCCCTCTCCTTCCCTTCCTCATTCTCCTCTTCCTCTTCTTCCTCTTCTTTCTCTTTCTCCCTTTTCTCCTCTTTCTTGGCATTTGGTTTATTAACAAGATCTCATGTATCCCAGGCTAGTCCAAAACTCACTGTAGAGCCAAGGATGACCTTGAACTTCTGATCCTCCTGCTTTCCACCTCCCAAGTGAGTTTGAGAGGAAGTCGTAGAGAAATTAAAACAAGTGAAAAGGAATAAAAATAAAATGATAAAATTGACACTCCAAACCAAGGAAGCATTTGGAGGAAAATTAATAGCAGCAAATGCCTTTGTAGAGACAAGAGTTTAATAGAATTCATGTTGAGAAATCAGAAAGGAAGAATGAACTGAAGCGAAATCCAACTGAAAGAGGCAAGTTGATAAAAGAAAATCTATTTATCAGTGATTAGTGGGATTTGTAAATCCGTCTCATCTGCTCAAGCAATGAAACACAGAATAAAGAAAGGATATCAAAAGCTGAAAGAGAGAAAATTGAGGTCATTTATAAAGGCAGGCCTGTCAAAATAACAACTGATTATGGACAGAAATGTTTAAAACCAGAAGGGCCTGGAAAGTACTGAAAGATTACAACCGTCAACACAGGGGAAAACACTCCTGGGGTTCTTAGTCAATTTTATTAGAGTTTAAAAGAAAACACCCAGGCTAGTCAAGGTAGAAATCTCAGCAGATGCCTGGAGGACAAGAATGGAGGAGAGAAGGAAAAAAGCCATGTGCTTTAAACTAGTGTGGAAGGCAGGCACATGGCAGACTAAAAGCCACATGGTGGGAAGGTCAACTTTAGAGAAAGAGTAAAGAAGTCTAAAATGTTGGGGCAGCCCAAACTTTAAGGGAAAGCATGCTTAGAAAAGAGACAGAGGGACTGGAGAGTTGGCTCAGTGGTTAAGAGCTCTGGTTGCTCTTGTAGAGGAGCCAGGTTTGATTTCTAGCACCCACATGGCAGCAAACAACCGTCGTAGCTCCAGTTCCAGGGAATCCAACACCCCCTTCTGGCCTCCACGTGCATTGCATGACACGATTGCACTTACATACATGCAGGCATAACACTCATACCCATAAAAAATAAAAATAATAAAATATTAAAAAAGAATAGTGTCAGAAAGGAGAAGATATACTTTTTTGAAAATTTCAGATAATTGAGCATAGCTATAAAGTTACATGTGTAGGTTCAGCCCAATAACCTACCACACTAGGGGGCAGGGGTGCTGTGCAGGCAAATTTCACCATCTCATTAACACACTAGTGATTCTGCCCAGCTCTTTAGCATGTCTTAATGTGAATCCACCTTCCATGTGATTGACCAAGCCCAGGTGGAATGTCAGGTTTCTTTATTTCCAGGCCAGGCCAGAGATTTGTTCTCCTGACCAGGAATTTCTTCTTAATGGCCCTTTATTGTTACTGTAACAATATTATACCCAGAAAAATATCTATCTGCATTACA